AACAATTTAGCCCGAAAAGAATTGTACAAAAACCACCGAGTTTTAAAAGGTCCTGCAGCAGATTCCATCTGGCTTGGGAGGGGAAGGTTCAAAACCTTGCAGGAAGGACTGTCGAGTGTGGGTTCTTAGCGCAAGACAGCACACGCTGCCCCACATTACGAGTCCTATGGAATCAGACTGTGTGGAGCCCCCCTTCTGCAAGGGGGTTACATGGGATTACATGTTTATGGGGCAGGACGGGAGTACCGTCTCGCGCTGAGAACCCACCCTCTGAAATGGCTTACGCTTCTTTCGTGATAGCTTTCTTTCTTTCTCTATCTATTTCGTGTTATATCATTTGTAATCTATTTACTTCCTTTCGTTCTTGGATTGTTTCTTTCCTGTCCTTTCTTTCCTGTCTTGGTTTCATCCTTCTTGTTCATTTACTTCGTCCTTTTCTGTCCCTGCTGACCTTTTTGTCCTTTCCTTCTTTTGTTTCTTTGCTTGTTTCCCTTCTTTCGTTTCTCGTATTCCATTTGTTTCGTTCATTTCATTAGTTTCTGTCATTTGATGCGGTTCTTTGATCTCATTCGTTGTTTTCTTTGTTTCTATTTCTGTATGTCTTCACTTATTTCTTTCATTGGTTCTTTCTTTCTGTCTTCATTTCTTCTTGCTGTCGTTGTTTCGTTACTTATTCATTTACTGATTTCTTGGTTTCTTTCTGTCCTTCCTCCCTTTCTTTCTGTCGTCATTGCTTGATAAACTTTCCCGTTGGTTTTTCTTACTTTCCCCTTGAACCTCCACCAGCCCCCAAAACCACAAAAATAGAGAAAACAAGACCTTGCCCTAGTAGATGCGGACGTTGATGGAAATTGGTGAAGTCTCCACTTTTGACGGTCGATCGACGTGTCTCTACAGCATTGTCCTACTGGGTCTTCTGAGGATTTCAAGCTGCACTGTGATGAGCCATGTCGTGTCTCTCATTTATGCTGCGCAGGGCTAGTTTCAGTACACCTCGTTGTTTGCATTCAGTCAATCTCGTTTCTATCAGCAGGTGTAGCATTGCAGAAGGCCCTTCCAGATGAGTCAACTCCACAGCAGCAATCATGCATATCGATGTTACTCAATCCCCTTACGTTCCAAAAACTCTCCTTCTTCTTCAGGCTATGTCCCTCGCTTGCGAAGGGACTGGGGCACGGCCCTGAACCCAGAGGCGGTCACTGTCATGGTCGGCCTGACATTGAATAGACTGTGTGTCCTATACATTGCACGGCACTTCGGAAAATTGAATCGATCCGGCTCCCCCTGTCTGGTTTGCTCTCCTATATGCTTCTCCCTGACAATTAGAAGTACAAGAGCCACACAGATCATCGCAGAGCTCCTCCCTTTGGTTGTCACAGAAATTTATGTACAGCAATCAGGGTTACTGCTGATTCCCAATCTCTACACAACACATGCATAAGAACTGCTTGGGCCCAAAGGATTCGGATACAGTCAACCACTGAAGGCTCCCTTGGTCGAAGGTTACCCGGTGTCTCTGTCATGAAGTTGTGTGTAGTCAAAAGATTCAGGCCACTGTTCGCCCAAGTGCATCTCTGTTTCGCTGGGTTCCCAGTAAGGCAATCCAATCAAACAGCACAAGAAAGACCCGACAAAGTAGCACGCCACACCACCATATTCCTATAACGTGGGTCTGACTGTTTTCAAATTTGTGCATGCCACTCTTCAAGACGATTGACAACAAAAATCTGGGTCCGGTTTAGAAGCTCATACTTTGAATTCTCCTGGTTGCATGCCGAATACCGCTCACTGGCCATCATGCATCATCTCACCTTGATTCAGCCATCGTGTCCCACATTGTGGCTGCATGTTGTCCTTCTGGTTGCACGTCTCAGTATCGATAGTGTCGATCTAGTGCCAGTTGTACCGTCTCTCCGCTATTGCCTGGCAAGTTCCTTTCAAGGTGTTTGTATCTCTTCGGCAGCTTCTCCCTGCCTTAACACAACGTCTTCGCATTCCAGCATTAGCACAAAGTGTGTCACACGACGCCATGGTCTTCTTCTTTACGCAGGAAACCTGTTTCTCTTTGAACTTGGGCCTTGACAACCGTTTTACATTTTCCAACTGGTTCCTGTGAGTCACATCTCCCCCTGCACGCTCTCCAGTTGTGGTTCTTCTGCGGGCGTCCCCTTTCCCACTGTTCTAGCCTCGCACTCTTTTGGTCATGGCAAGTCTGCAAGATTTTTATCTGAAAGACTATGACATACCAGGAAATAGGTGCATCACGAGGTCAATGCAAGCCTGGAACTGACTTGCGCAGCCTGAACCCCAAACGGAAAATCCAAGTTAGGGGGGCGTAGCAAAATGAATCGAGGCGTCACGAACTGAGAGAAGAGGAAACAAGCAATTGGGGAAGCCAAGGAAGTTTTGCTCTGCAGTAAGAGGCTCGGGATACTCATGCTTAATTTCAACTTGCCACAATCTTTGACCTTAAGCCTCCACCTACGCTCACTCGTCCGCTCCGCCGCCCCGCGAAGAACCTCCAAAGGATGCAGGAGCCGGTGAATTGCGGCACCGTCACAGGAGGATGCGGTGAAAACTTGAGCCAGAGTGCAGTCTTCGCGCCGTCCCCGACGCGTCAAGTCGGGGCTTCGGCCCGTAGCATGATACCCTGTGCAAGTGGAAGCCAGCAAAGAACTGTGGCAAGGAAGAGAAGGCAATTGCCTTTCAAGATCCGTGCCCCCCATCCTCTGTTCCCCACCCCACAGCCTAACAGTCTAGTGACAGCAGTTGCCCCCACATCTTGGACATGGTCTTTCTTCAATATGACAGAGACCGACTTGCTCCCTCTGACTTGCTCCCTTCTTGAAAGCAAGCCCCTGTCAACAACGGAAGGGATAGAAATAAATCGGCAGTCCCACTCATCCATTCACAGTATTTTTGCTCGCTCCCATTTGAGTGAACCATGTTCCCTAGAAGCACACCAAGACACCGCGTACACCGCAAACCACCCCAAAGTCTTTCTTATCTGAGTTGTACCTGATCCTCACTTGCCTTTTACATCTTCTATCTGGAATCGTGTGATAACCTTTCTCACACCTGTGATTGTCAACCAGTGTGCTGTCGAAAAAACCCTTCACACAGTGTGTCCCCCATGCTCCGTCACAAAATCCTCTATGACCGTTGCTGCAAACCCTCTCTTCGAGGGCCTCATCCAGCGTTTGTAGATGGATCGCTAAATCCGGCATATCTTGTTGGTTGGGCTCCACGTTATTCAGGTAATATTGGTTCCGCATGCACAACGCCAGTATTGTACATGATCTAGAGTGTGTCCTCATCGCATAGCCGTACATGCTTCCTTCTTCACAGTCAAGCCACTGGGGCAAATCGATACCAAGAATGGATTTTGAGGAGCTTCAGAATGAGCCGATGTAATTCGGGGAGCCGCTCAGAAGAGAACCTCGCGACTCGAGGGACTCATCCGAGGAAGTGTCTACGGTGTACACAGAATGCGGCTCTTTGCAGCAGACCTCGTAGTGTTCGCAGCAGTGTCAGGGTCAGACGGGTCAGATTCAGGCAGGCATTGTTGGATTGGCGTACCTGTTCCAATGCCTTCCCCTTTTTCCGGCGATCTCCTACCAATTTCACCTCGCTCGGATCGGACTCACCCCCGTCATCTGCACAAGGGGGGTTCAGGCGGAATGGTTTCAGTTTCACCATCACTGTCTCCCAGAACTTCTGCAAACGTCAGGGTATCCCAACCCCAGTCTGATGACATTTCTTCCATGTCGCCTTTGTAAGTCTGGCTTAAGAGCCGACAAGCTTTCAGCTGGGATCTACACTTTTCCTGCCGTGCTGCTCTTCCCTTTTTTGGGTTTACCCTACCTTTCTCTTCGGCTTGATTTCTTGTTTGCCCTGCTTGATGCTCCCTTATCGTTGTCGGAGTTGAGTGGAGCGCGCTTGTTCCCGAGCAGTCCCATGCTTCCCTTCTTCCAGGTGTCGTTTAGGAAGGACTAACTCGTCCATACTCTCCTCGCACCTGACTCTCGCTCCTCCAGGCGGTGGAACTCCTTTCCAAGCTGATTCTGCTCCCTGGGTCTTCACTTCCTCATTGGTGTTCTTGACTTTTGTCCCCGTATCCAGAACTGCTGCTACGGGGCTTCTATCCTTCTTCTTTCTTGGTTCCAGGGCTTCACCCCGCAGCACAGCCCGTGCCAGGCCTGTGGCCTTCCCATCAGTGACACTTCGAGGGCTACCCAAACATAAGGTAGTAGAAGGAGAGCGAGCGCCATAATTAATCACAAACAGCATTTGCAACAAGGGTTCCCAAGCCTCCACATTTCTTCCCTTACTTTGTTGAAGCCGCGAACCGTGCGTGCAAAATAAACTTCTTCTCCTTCTTCGTGCTATATGCAGTCCGAAGACACTGTGCGCGGGCTAGGCCCACAGCACAGGGTCTATGTGCAGATCGAAGATGACACGGAGAAATCTTTGTGAAGGACACTCTCTGTTCAGACCGTCCCTGCCCCATCTTCTCTCGTCTCCCCATCTCGCGTCTTCGAGTATCCTTCCAATTTTTATCTGGGTGCAGTTGTCTTGGAAAATTTCTGCTGAGGAAGGGTTGGGCTAGAATACACTCCTCTTTCTTTCTTTCATGCGGGCTGTGGACTGCCCCCGAAGGAGCAGCCCGGGCTCCGGCCCAGCCCCTGTTGGGCTTCCTGGTGGTTGAGAAACTCACCCCTCGTTTGCACATGTCAGCAGTTGGCCTTCAGGACAGGATTGAAGCTGTGACTCAAGGTGTGTAGGTTGTAAGGATGCTGGACATGTGGGGTATGGCCTGAACGGTTCTTCACAGCCTGTGCCTCACTCTCTCTGTCTCTCTTTTATTCTTCTCACAGCTATAGGGCGCCCTACGACACCCCCTGGGGACTCGCTCTCTCTCTATCGCTCTCTCTCTCTCGCGCTCTTTCTCTCTGAGTGACCACCCGGTTTAATTGTTCTTCGTCCAAGCTTACGACGGCCTTGTGCGTATGGACATAGAACCGTTTCTCAGGCTGTTGAACCTGCCAAAGATCTTGCTGCCAGACGCTGCAAGCAGGTTGGGACATCTTGGCTGCCTGACAGAAGGAAACTAAAAAAAGGGCGCCTTCATCAAGTGGCTAATCGAATCCACTGACACCCCACGGTGCATCACAGTGAATCTCTGCGCACCAGCTCGGCTTCCGCCTGTGGGCAGACGGTCCCAAACTGCCGCACCATCACATGACATCCTATTGGCCATGGAAACGGCGCAGTCTGACAACACTGTGACAACTCAAACTTGAGAACATTGTCACGACAGCTAGAGGCAGCAGTGGAAGAGAAGGAGCCATGCAGTTACAGGGCTGAGGTGTCGACCAAGAGCTTTCAAATGAAATGCAACTGCGAGCCTTACTAGAGGACCTATATGGGGTGCCTATAGGCAGGGGGTGCCTAAAGGCAGGGAGGGGCCTATTTCCACCCACCTAGAGAATCTGAAAACGAGAACTACCGCAAGCTCCCGGAGAGCTAGCTTTCGATTTCGTGACGTCTTTGAATTGGTTCCTGGTCTAGGTGTTGGCAGAGAGTTTGTCTGCTGGTCCCACGGGTAATCATTGGATTCAATTCTGGTACAAGACCACGGACTAGACAGTTTTACTTTAAAACCGGCCTTCCGACTGGAGACAGATTACATGGTGGGGACACAGCATCCACCATATTCTTTACCTGGATGTCGTGCATGTCTCATCCGGCATTATCCGGCCAGAGCCTTGCTTCCCTCCAGCTTGCGTAGACTTCGTGCTTTTGAATGCGACCTACAAACGTTGTCATGAATGCAGCTTTGAAAAGGTCACTTACTTGGAGGCCAGGCCTCTGGAACCCAATCGCGACCCTTGCGAGGCGTCGAGCGGGGCGTGGGTGTTTGAGACCTCTACAGCCCGAGTAGTGATGCCCTTCGCTCGCATCACGAACTGGTCACGAACGCATCTGTAAAGGGGTGTCTCGTTTTGAACTGGAGGCTCCCGTGGCTTGCAGAGTGCCTTGGTCGATCAGTCGGTGTACGCGGACTCACCGACCTCTCTGCCTGCTCAAGCGGCGCAACTTCTACACATCAGAAGGAACCGCCCGGCCTTGTTAGGTGCCAGGACACTCAGAAGTGCACGGGACCTGGCCAAAGAACTAAGACCAGAGGGCGTTTGAAAACGTCTTGGCATCTCGGTCACATCTGACTTCTGAGCACACCACCATTGATGCAAACTGTCGTTATCGCCAACATGGACGCCGACTTTTTTGCCCTGACGTGCTCTCCAGGTTTAATGTGCCCATTTCAACACACGACAAGGCTGCATCGGCGCTGTTCAACATGCAATCTGATGTCAACGTCTGCATTCAGCAGCGCTGAGGTCGCAGCACCAAGGTTAAGAATGAGACCTGCACGTGTTGCAAACAAGGTGCAACTGATTCTGACTTTACAGCTTTGATCGGGCAGCCTCCACTGATCGTTTCCAAGCCCCGAATACTGGACATTAGGATGCGGCTGTCCTGCAAGTGTTTCTTTAAACCCTGGTGGCAATGCAATAGAACTACCGTGCGGTCTGCAGCCACATCTTGAAAACGACATACTCACTGGCGCAAGTTTCAACAAAGCCCTAGTCAGAGTAACTCCTCCTTGGTCCCGAAGCTTGCCTGAAAAGACAGAACAACACAGCTCTGGAGTGTCAACTCAACTAGTCTTGGGCATCTTGGGCATCGGGCGTTGGAAGCACTCGTCCAACTGTCCAATCTGTCCTGCAGACCATCGCGGGCAGCAGGATGAACAATATGGTCGTATCGCGCAAGTACAGAAACTAGCCCATGCCAAGCATAGGAACCTCAGCATAGCTCCTTGAAGAGAATGCTAAGACGAATCACCAGACGTTGCTGGTGTTGGAAACCGAGAAGCCCCCAGTGAATGACCTTCTCCTCAGCAACGCCGACAGACATGGACGGCACTATAAGATCCTGGACCGTGCTGTCTGGTTTCATGCCTACACTGCCCTCAACCAATTGGCACAACACAGCCGTGGAGGCCAGTGTAAGTCACTGGGTGAGGCACCAATTACGCACCAGAGCAAAAGCGCATGATGTTTGGAATCTGCTTGGCTCTGGCGCCATGCGGGTGCTGTTCTATGTGTCCAAAAATTGACCCCCTCTGCCTGGGTTTCCGCCACCTTCCACGAGCCGCAATTCTTGCAAGATTTTTACATTAGTTCAGTTTCGGCACAGTAAGAGGAACTTTTTTGCTGTGATCCTAACTGGTAGACAGAATAGACAAAATCCTTCAAATGCCCTATTGGGAAGCTCTGGCAATGCAGTTTCAGGTCTGCTTTTAATGGCAGGTATTCAGCTACTGGAAATACGCCGTACCTGCGCTACACATGCAATCAACGGGCATGCGTTTTGGAAAGCCCCGAAAAAGCATACCGCGCATGGCAGCCATCTGTTTACCTGGGCTATTGGGCCTATCAAGACCGGTCAGGGTACACGATGGTAGACTATTGGTCAGAACCGCAGAGAAAGAACTCAAACGCGTTTTGGGAAACCCCAAAAAACGCATACTGCCTATGGTACCCATTGGTTGCTTGGGTTTTGAGCCAGTGAAAGAGAATTGGGTTAGATTCTGATTGAGAACCGCCAAGACACGATACAAGTGCGTTTTGGGAAGCAAGGAAAGCGCACATTGGGGTATACTTTTGGTCAGAGCCAGAGAGAACAGAATGTGTTTTGAGAAGCCAGGAATGCTTATAGGCGGCGGGGGGGGGGGGGGGGGGG